TAAAAGAAAATTATACAAAGACTTATAAATAAGGATAAGTAAGTGGATTCAATTAGAGCTTGAATATAATATAGGTGTACACAAAGCGTTTGTCCAATCTGAGGTAATAAAGCTAAAGCTTCTGTGATGTATATCATCACAGAAATGCACCAGGTTCATGAGAACGTTGTAGTTACATAATACGTAATATAACGTATAGATAGTTGTATGTTTCTTGTTCACGAGCATGCAACCCTTCAGTCCATATAGATACGTTGGTTGCCGTTGCGGTGACATGAATTACAGACGGTCCATCCACAAGATTGATCAACGAAGCCACGTTACAAACTATCACCAATGTATGACAAATCTGAGACCGTTTATTTCTATCACTAATTCATTTACATTTGACTACTAAATATTTAATGCACCAATTTGTGGAATATGTGCATTATATTTGATTTAATTAATTAAGTCAAACTCATATTTATGTACTTCCAAATACCTATTTAAAAATAGTTAAGACACTTTATTTACAGCTACATGGAAAAAATATAGGGTTTACACAGAATATAAACTTAAGTGTAAGTACATTCAATGAGATCAAAAAAGTTACAAATAAAATAAATGATAAGGTTTTAATTTTTTACTGTGTATATATATTAACTCTTAATAAATGAACTTTTTTTTCTTAACAAAAAAATATTTATTAAATCTTAAAAAAATTTAGCTATCAATATTTAATAAATGAACAAATTTTTTCCAAATAAATGAATTTATTAACAGTTCATAAATTCTTATATTAATGTATTAAGAAAAATGAGGCATTATAGCATTGATTATATAAAGTTTGGCCCACGATATTGAAAGTACCTTTTCTTCTACTTATTTTAACTTTTGTAGTTATAGTATATACTATTAGAGTAGTTTAGAGCAATACAAATTATAAAATAAAAAAAAGTATTCACTTCCGTGGATGAGGTGAGTAAAAGGATCACACGGTTTTTACATTCCCATCTTTCTCTTTGCTAATCAATAATTAAAATATCCCCCCTTAATGATGTTTAATCTCGTATGCGTTACGCTGAAGTTTGTCAGCTCATATTTCCACTTTAAGACAAAAATAAAGCCATCCCCCTTGAGACTCGTTAGTCAAACTCATCCAACTAGATTGCGGATGTACGTTCCACTCTTTCATGACACAATACAACTTGTTCGTAGCCATAACTCACGATATACAGTTCTATATCTTACTTAATCTTTTCTCTTCTCTATCGCTCTAATCTATCACGATATCCGGTCGACTACTTAACTTGATGTACAGTTGACACAAAGATGCACTAATACTATAAAATCTAATTACACATAAAAACAACAAGCTGTTGGATGTTGCAGAATATAAATATTTCATTTTTATTTTTGGAGGAAAATAGTAAAGTTTGGAAAATTCATAAAATTATTGTTTTAAGTGGGACGTTTGAGAATCAAATTTTCATCAATTGTCAACGCTTTAATGGCTTAAAAAACTGTTTTAATGATTTTTAAACGTTAAAAATTCGAAGTATAAACGATTTTAACTGACTTGATGAATTTTATTATAAATTCAATAAAATTTCTAACTAACCTATCGAAATTTTCAGCAAGTGACTAAAAATGCAACTTCTGATTTTTTACAAAAATTAGTGAATAAACTAACTAACACAATCTAAATAAATCGATTGTTTGAGATTAGAGTAATTGCATTTTTAAATTAAATTTTTTGAAAAATTTGGCTTATACTCAATAATTTTTAACTTTGAATTTCATTTGGATTTTAAAATATTTTAATGACTTTTTATGCTCTATATACAGATAAAAAAGAATAATCAGGATGGATGTTATTGGGCTAGTAATCAGTAACATGAAAAATAAAATTATTACGTGATTGGAATAGTAGTAAGTATTTTATGAAAGGAAAATTCAAGTGTAATGGAAAATATGAATATTTATATATTTATTTTCATTTAATTCAATATAAAAAATTTATTCATTTACTATACACTACAATAATAAAACATTTATTCGCACGGAAAAAAGAAAACTTGAAAAATTAAAGTATAAAATGTAAAATCGGTCCGATCGTAATCAAAACTAGAAAATTTACAGTTTAAAATAACATTTTTCTAAATTCAATTTTTTAATTTAATATTCAGAGCTTGCAATGTAAATATTACATTTTATAGTGTAATTTTCATAAAATCTCTAATAATTACATTTGAAACTGTAATTTTTCCTGTTTTCATCACGAAGCGCCACGTTGCATTATATACTGTAATTTTTCGAGTTTTCTTTTTTCCGTACGGTCTTTATATAATCCACAAGTATAGCGCACTGGACATGAAATATTCAAAGGTAAGTGCATGATTTGATGATTTTTTATGATTTTTCTTTTATTTATCGGCAATATCTAGAACAATTTTTATTTCTCAAATCGATAAATTTAGTCCTGAATCATAAATGATTAACGATGTATGACTATGCCATTCTCATGTGCGCACCAATCAGGATGCTGCGATAGTGCGCTATTTGAGGGTTAATATGTAACATATATAATAATTCGTATAAACTTATATTTAATAAAATAACAATTGTATGAATGGCATAAATATTTTTCACAAAAATTCAAGGGTTAAAAATTATTTTTCAGAGTGGTTCAGCGGTTGTAATACAAAACCATTATTGAGCAGAATGATTAAAAATGATTTCACATGTTAAAACGCCTATGAGAGATAATATTTAAAATGATTTAAAGAATTACAAAGTATTCAAAATGATTAAAAATCAAATAATATTTAACACTCTTTAATCATTTTATTTAATAAGAGAAAAATAATGACGTTAAGGAGGTCCTTTCGCCGCCAATGTAAAATAAAAAATATTAGATTATGAGTAAATTAAATTTTTTTCTAATAGTTGAAGTCCTTATTTATCTAATAGTGAGGTTTAAATTATACTTTACCGGACAAATTTTTGAAAAAATAAAATTTTTAAAGAACGGTCGGTCATTTATTGGGTTTCTTCGTTTAATTATATTAATATAATTTTGTTAATTTTTATTATAAATAGTTATTAATTATTATTAATTAAGTATTTAACTTTAATAAAATCCATTACAAATTGTTTTTAGTAGGTTAATAGATTTTTTATAGCTTAGTACAGAAAAAGAAAACCTTAATCGGTCAATAATTAGTGCATTTACCCTAAGCACCGTGTATTTTAGCAAGCCGAATTAGAAAAATTGATTTAAGGAGGTCCTTTCGCCTCTAATGTAAAATAAAAAATATTAGATTATGAGTAAATTCTATTTTTTTCTAATAGTTAAGGTCCTTATTTATTTAATAGTGAGGTTTAAATTATACTTTACTGGACAAATTTTTGAAAAAATAAAATTTTTAAATGTTAGTATTTGTTCAGAGTCTTATGAGAAAGTCAGATGTTTGCAGTATTTCTCGAATTATACTATCAGTCATGGATTAGATGGAGTAAAAAAAAACTAAAAATTAGATTTTTCGAAATATTCAGGTTTCTTTTTTTTGCAATAAAATATATCAGTTACCGATATATTTATTGAGAAATTAATATTTAAAAATCATAAAAAATTCTCAAGTAACCTACATTAATATATGGAGTCAAAATATTTGGCAACGTTGCGTAGCGCGCGAGCTTCAGACCATTTAATAAATTCAAACTAATTTATTTATTTACACTGACTGCAAAAACTTGAACGTGTTTAAGGTTATATTGTGCAAATGAAAATGTAAACAATCGAAGTACAGCGTTGCCAAATCACGGACAGGTTAATAGCAACTGATTTGAAAGAGTCAAATTAATTTTTGTATTTAACTATTTTTTTTTTTTATTTCTAAAATTTCAACGATTAATGCCTCATATACTATTTGTTATTTAATTTTAGGAATTTTTATGGATTTTTTATTTTAATTTATCGTATATTGACTACTACAATCGTTTTGACTCAACTGGAGCGAAAGGATTTCCTTGTTAAAAGCAATTAATAAAAACTACGCATCTTCTTCAAAATTCTTGCAGAGTTTTGAAATCCTCTCCGGCTCAAATAACTCGCATTGAGAGCCGGTTCCTACGATTGCAGCTTTATATTTCTCTCTTAGACAAAGAAGAATTTTGAAAAAAACGCTCTGCTACGTGATAGATTTTTTTAATATCTATTTCGTAGCAAAACGTTTTTTTCGAAATTCTCATTTGCTTAAAAGAAAAACATAAAACTGCAATAGTTTTATAATCATGAGTGCAACAAAGATAGTAGTACCGTTTCTTGCATCAGTGAGTGAGACGCGAAAAAAAGAGAGGATCGGCTGTTAAAAAAAAATCACAGTTTTGAACCCCTTCAATTTTGAGCGATAGATATCTTTTGTAAGTATCTAACCATTTATCAATCAATAAAAAAATGTTATTCTACTTTTGATAACGATTTGTCGTCTCGAAAAATTTTCAAAAAATTTCACGAGAGGATTTTAAACTGTCAAACTTTCGGAAGAAATTATGGTAAAAACATATTAATATATATAAGCAAGAATATTTATTAACAGCCGATCTCCTCTTTTTCTCGCATCGCACTCACTGCAAGAAACGGTACTAATATCCTTGTTGCACTCATGACTATAAAGCTATTGCAGTTTTATGTTTTTTTTTTTTAAAAGAAATGAAAATTTCGAAATAAACGCTCCGCTACGAAATAGATAATTGAAAAATCATTACGTAGCAGAGCGTTTTTTTTTCAAAATTCTTCTTTGTCTAGGAGAGAAATATAAAGTTGAATCGTATAGGGACCGGCTGTTAATAATATCACATTAAATAAAACAAAATTTAATTTTACTCATTTAATTACAGCATAAACTTCAAGTTTTCTTTTTTCATTACTTTATTTATGCTATATTTTACTCCATCACAATTTTTTTAGCCCCTTGAAAATTGTAATCCTTGAATTTTTCGGAAAAATTGTCCTTTTAACTATCATTGGTTGAAGTTCGATTGTAAAAAGCTCTGGAAAAACTGGCAGGATTCTGTCTTCCAAAGAAGAAGAATCCCCGTCGCCAAAGGAAAAATAGAGTGAGCGTTATAGGAAGAGCCAGAAGTAGACCAATTAGTATTCCAACAAGGATTGCAGCATCCCGTTCAGGTCGAGCCCCATAACGATCAAGACATCGTAATATTCTGTGTGACAACGATGTCAAATTTTTACCTGCATGCTCCGGAGGTGCAGTGCAAAATAGTTTATCAACATCATCTTGCATTAGAGTCTTTCCTCGCATAGGAAGAAGTTGAGTAATCTGTCAAAGAATAATTATTAACCAATCATAAATAATTATTTTTATTAAAAAATATTGTAATATGTATAGTTACTGACCAAGTATTGATTTTGACAATCACAACTCCAGTCGTTGTTAAGTAGAATTAATTTTTCTAGTTTATGCCACATGCCTCCCAATAAATTTGCAGATAGGTATTTCAAAGCATTATTTGACAAATCAAGAATCTTCAAAGGGGGCCAAAATGCACCATTAATATTCTACAAATAATACAAGATTTAATTTTTCTCTAAATATATATGTTAAGATAATTTTTACTATGTGCTTTATAAGTTAATATATACTTATAGTAAACCACTAATATTTTTATTCTAAGATTACAATACGTTATGAGTAAATTATGACTTGAATCGTAACTCAGAATTGGTAAAATAATTTTAGTCAAACTATATTTTGTAAAAAAATTGTATGATAGTAATATTAAAAAATTTTTCTCACTTCAACTATTTATCTATTCACTATATAGCTATAACTTACTAACATGCATAACTAGAGAGTCTTCGTCAATATTTATAAGTCTTGGACAATCACATAAGTAGAGTTCTTCCATAACAGGTAGCTCAGAGAAAACATAACGTCCAACGTTAGTTAAATAAGGCAATGAACATAAGCTTAATCTTTTAAGCTCCGGAAGATTTGGAAAAGCATTGTTTTCATCTAAATTTTGAATTGGATTCTCGTCCAAATTTAAGAATTCCAGAACTGTGGCATATTTCAACGCAGTTGGTATTTTTGTGAAACGATTTTCATTCAAGTGAAGTTTTTTCAATGATGTTCTATAATTTAATAAGAAATTACATAAATAATAATATATGTAGGAATGGTATGAACGTAATTCCTATTGGAATGATTTTGGAATTTTTTGTTACCTATCACCTAAATATCTTTTTTAACTTTCCGCTAAAAAAATTGAAAATTTTCAAAAATCGGGAAGTTATTGATATTACCCCGCTTTTCGAAAATCGCGTTTTCAACGGATGTTGACGTTTTGAGGTCCTAGGAAGCCTCCCCGAATGTTTCCGCGGTGATGTCCATATGTCTGTGTGCACGCGCGCGCGCGCGCGTGTGTGTGTGTGTGTGTGTGTAAGCCTCTCATAACTTTTGAACGGCTCGACCGATTTCATCGCAGTTGGTGCCATTCGAAAGGGCTTGACCAAACTTAGTTTTTGAATAAAATTTGGATCGATTCAAACCGGTAGATTTTGAGAAATCTCAGAAAAACTACAAAAAAAAATTTTTTCAAATGTGGTTTTTTTGGAATTACTTTTAAATGGCTTTACTGATCAATTCCAAAAACTAATTAGCTCTTAACATGAAAAAACCACGTCAATTGCTCCTAGCCCGATCGAAATCGGTTGGTTCTTTCGTGAGTTATCGTTATCGAAAAAAAAAACCGAAAAAAATGTTTTTTCGGAATTACATCGAAATTCCTACTTCGATCGATTAAAACTTAAAGATTCTTTATGAGGCCTGAAAAACTGCGTCGAATGCCACCAACCGCGTGAAAATCGGTTTATTTATTCAAAAGTTATTGCAGTTTTAAAATTTAAGAAATAGTGTTTTATCAAACTTTTACCAGATTTTTGAGCTCAGAGAGCTCAAAATGATATGATAATTATATTTTTGAGCTCGAAGAGCTCAAAAACGTAATAAATGAAGTTTTGTGCGCTTAAGTATGAAATGAGCGGGAAGTTGCAGGGATGGCCTTTAGGGTCAACCGTTTTCCTAATTTTTTTTTTTTGAATTCTGCAAAAATTTATAATCAATTGTAATTAACTTAAAAGTTCGATAATTTAACCAGTTTTATGTCAAAGCTGTGTATAAATTCTTATTGTTAAAAAATATTATTATGCCTTTTTGGGATAATTTTTATGAAGTTTAGATGTAATTTCAATTATCGCTTATTATAAACTACTGTCAAAAGTATAATAATTACTGCAACAAGTGTAAAAAGGCTGTTTTAGGGCAGTATGTAACAAAAATTCCAAGATCATTGAAATATAAAAACAATGTTTATGATATTATGATTAATATTTATTACTTGTGAAAATCAAACACATATTCCGGAAGTGTTTCAAGATTGCAATCTACCAAATGTAATTCTTGTAAATGATAAAGATTGTTAAGGGCTTTCATAATAGAATCATCGATAACTTCTAACGGATTACCGTTGAGAATCAATACTTCGACATTCGGTATGTGCTCAAATAAATCCTGATGTAGTGTGTGGAGATTGTTATCTCCAAGATTCAATACCTGTAATTGTGGTAATGCTTCCCATTCATGAGGAGCATATTTTCGCTTACCCTATAGAAAAACAAAATAATTTTATATTGTAAACTGATTACCTAGTTATGATTAATCTTTAGATTAGAGTTTTTAAATGCACGAGATTGTAATATTACCATCGCGATAGTATTGTGGTGGTAACTATTACCATAAAATTTTAATCAATAACACTACAAGATATTAATTATTATAGGAGAACGATAATAATGAAAGCCATTTAATTTTCTTCATGTACTAAGGTTCGAAGGTATTAGAAATATCGAAAAACTGAAAAAGATGACAGTAATCAGAAGCAAACTATAGACTTTTCGAGAAAAAAATGGTTCAATATTGCTTATAACCGCCCGAATAGTAGATAAAGATTGGTAATAACATGATCTGTTTTTAAGAAATAGTGTTCGAAGAATCATACCATAAGAATGCATTAAATCATTTAAACTTGTTCAAAATTAACTAACTTTAAACTATCGCTAAATATAAGTATAAAGACTAAAAAAATTGATTATGAATTAGATTTAATAAATTAATTAGTCAAATAATTATTTAATTGCTCAATTTATTATAGTCATAGCTATGTTTCAGAATACAGATTTTCAAATATTTGCTGAGTTTACTTGGAGTAACTTTATAAATAAGCTCAGTAATGGCCGTAGCTACTCTTTCCTGATTGATGACCATGTCCATATCCTGATTGGTGACCACGTTCAATATTTTCTGAGGAATGACGACCAGATTCCCAGTTTTCTGATTGACGTCCAGATTCCCAGTTTCCTGATTGATGACCACCATGTCCATGCTGACGTGAGTTTTCATCACGATCATTGCTTTGCCAAACCGAATCGTCGTTTCTTGATGAGTGAGTTGGTCGTCGAACAAAATCATAATTTCCAGGATAGCGATCCGAATCAATGGAATGAGTATCATGATGTGACTGAGAACTTCCTTGACTGCTTCCATATCCTGCTGCTCCGCCATATCCGTACGCAACCGCGTTTGTGTAGATCTATCCAAAAGAAATTTAAATTACTTTTTATTTACCTCTTTCATTTTTTAATCTTTTGAAAACTTTGTAATCTATGAAAAAGTGTCTCAATGAATAAAATTGAACTTACCGTCTGAGTAGCAAGTGCCATTAAAATAGCAAGAATCGTTGTACTAGCCATGATGCTTCTGCTTCTACCGACAAATTATCGAAGAAAAATTGTAATGTGACAAACTACAAAACTCCAGTCTTTTTATAATGAAATCGAGTAAATCAAAAACCTCTGGTTTTACTGTATTCTTTAACAACACTAATAATACAAACACAGTACAGTCCAAAAAGTAAAAAACCCCGCATGTTTCTCCAAAAAAAAATTTCCACTAATCATAAAAAACCTATTAACGCTGCGTATATTTTGTTATTCTCTTACGTTAAAATTTTCAACGTTAATTGATTGAAAATTCGGAAAAATCTGAAAAAATTCAACACAGTAAACGGAAAAAAATAAATAGGTGCTACAACATGAAACATTCTTGTGGTAGCAACATGAGAAAATCCTGTGGCAGCAACATGATTTTCATCTTACACCAACAAAAGAAATTGACGTGGTGACAACATGAAAACATCATGTGGTATTAACGTGATTCTTGTGTTGCAGCAACAGGAAAATCGTGTGGCAGACAATTATAATAATAATAATATTGATCATTCAAATTTTATGACTAGACTGTAAAAATTTTTCGGAGTAAATGCAGTGATTTGGAAGTAAAAGACCTTTCATTTGAGTAACCACATGAATTTTTAATATATTTTTTATATTTCACAAATATCATACATCTAAAACATGAAAAATTCACTCTGTTACTCCAAGCGATGAGAGTGAAATAAAAGTCAAATTTACTCCCGAAATTAAATTATTAAAAAAAAAGATTCGAAAGAATTCGAATCTTTGCAACATTTGGTCTCGGAGTGAATTTAACTCCCGGTGGGAGTAAAGTATTTGTAAATCATATACTCGCATTCACTCCGAAAATTTATTTACAGTGTAGTAATAAAATTTGAATGATTATTATTATTACCTGTTACAGGAATTCCCTGTTGCTGCAACATAAAAATCATGTTACTGCAACGTAGCTATTTTAGGTAGATTGCTTTAGAAATCTGCCTATCGCAGAGGAACTCATGTTGGAATTTACATAAAATTTTGTTTCACCGTAATTCTGGACGGATCTTAATGAAATTTAACACGTTTGTTATATAAACGAAAATCTCCGTCGAATTCAAAAATGGGCCAAATCGGCCATTCGTTCCAAAGTTTTAGGTGTTTGAAAAATTTTTTTATTTTCATGAATATCACTATTTTACGAGATTTCTTCAAATAACTTGAGACTATAATATAGATAACTAAATTGGATATGTAATCTTTTTAGATAAAGATTTTCTAGAATTAAGGCGATTGATATTTTAATCTCTGGACAGAAAGGTACAGAAAAATTATTGTTATCGATGATTTTATGTTTTCAAAGTTCTATACTGTAATAAAATTTCTCAGAATTTTCCGAATTTTTTTCACAATTTGCAGAAAAATGTTTATTTATTTGTATCACATACTTTTATTTTAAGAATATTAATTAACGTTGAAAAAGTAAACGTAAGAGAATAATAGAAATACCCAACATGAATGGATTTTTTATGATTAGTGGAAATTTTGTTTTGGAGAAACATGCGGGGTTTTTTACTTTTTGGACTGTACTGTGTTTGTATTATTAGTGTTGTTAAAGAATACAGTAAAACCAGAGGTTTTTGATTTACTCGATTTCAGTATAAAAAGACTGGAGTTTTGTAGTTTGTCGCATTACAATTTTTCTTCGATAATTTGTCGGTAGAAGCAGAAGTAGAAGCATCATGGCTAGCCCAGCGACTCTTGCTATTTTAATGGCATTTGCTACTCACGCGGTAAGTTTAACTTTACTCATTAATACACTCTTTAATAGATTACAAAGTTTTCAATACAATACAAAGTCAAAGAGGTAAAAAAAAAAAAGTAATTTAAATTTCTTTTGGACAAATCTACACAAACGCGGCTGCGTCCGGATATGGCGGAGCAGCGGGGTATGGAAGTAGTCAAGGAAGTTCTCAATCACATCATGATACTCATTCCATTGATTCGGATCGCTATCCTGGAAGTGATGATTTTGTTCGACGACCAACTCACTCTTCAAGAAACGACGATTCGGTTTGGCAAAGCAATGATCACGATGAAAGCTCATGTCATCAGTATGAACATGGTCATCAATCAGGAAACTGGGGATCTGGTCATCAATCAGATAACTGAAAATCTGGTCGCCATTCCTCAGAAAATATTGAACGTGGTCACCAATCACGAAAGAGTAGCTACGGCCATTACTGAGCTTATTTATAAAGTTACTCCAAGTAAACAAATAAGTGTTTATAATTCAGCAAATATTTGAAAATCTGTACCCTGAAACATAGCTATGACTATAATAAATTGAGCAATTAAATAATTATTTGACTAATTAATTTATTAAATCTAATTCATAATCAATTTTTTTAATCTTTATACTTATATTTGGTGATATTTTAAAGTTAGTTAATTTCTACTATGTTCGAATGGTTTAATACATTTTTACCCTATAAATTTTTTAAAATATTCTTTGTTAACTAATTTATGACTATTTTTAGCGTTCTTCCTCAATTCATCCAAAGTTGGGGAGTGTACAAGTTAAACCGACTTCGGATTTGGATTCAGTGCATCAAAGAACATTAGAGAAATATTTGATCCCGAGTCAAAATTAAAAAACTAATTTCAGCTTCCAAATTCTACCCGAGGGTAAGAAGGCTGAAATTTAATCGATTAAGAAATTTTTTTTCTGCGTATAATTGCAAATTTTACTATTTTTTAGCCATTTTTAGCGGTTTTTTGCGAGTTTGTATAACTGCATTTTTTAGCAATCTGGTGGTTTTTTTTTGCAATTTACTCTAATTTTGGAAGCTTGATGAGCTAAATAGTGTTTATATTCGGATTCAGGGGATCGAAATACATAACTCTAGGTAGGTCTAGTCAAATGTACATACCACTTTTTTTTTTGTGTGACAGTGTTATTATTCTAAAACATATTAAACTTTTTAAGATTGTTGGTTTCACAAAATGAAAAATTTTGAAAAGTTTCTTCACAATTTATTGGTCATTTATTGATTGTCATTGTGTTATTAGTATTAAATCACCCTGAATAAAAAAAAGTATTGAAACAAAGAAAAAAATATTGAAAAGTATTGGTTTTCTAGTCAATCCAATACTTTTCAATACTTTTTTCTTTGTTTCAATACTTTTTTTTTTTATCAGGGCATGGCATCGTTTCGCACTTTTATTATTTTGGGTATTAATATTATTAATTTCTCGAAAACTTGTGAGAAAAGTTCTTGTCAAAAACTTTGTTTCATAATAAAAATTATTTTTTAATTTACTCCTTCAAATATTCAAAAACAACCATATGATTTTTTACAGATTATTCAATATGGAATACGTAGACTTATACATGTATAAAATACGTTTTGCGATGACCAATATCTGTTATGATACGTGCTAACAATGTGTGTCGTATATATATATATATATATCTCCTGTGCAATTTATTATCATGTATTATATTCTCAGTAAAGCAATATTAATTTACTGTTTAGAACAAAAAATATAGTAGTCGAAAATATACATTGAAACGTGTATAAAAAAAGTATTGGTAAAAAATACAATATAATAATAAATCAAAACAAATTTGAACATCTAGTCGTTTAAACAACAACTGTCTATAATTTAAACTGCATTTATACATAACTGCTACAACTTGCGTATTCTTATCTTATTTTTAGATATTATAGTTAAACAAATATTACATTAAATCATAAGAAATTATTTTCATTTATAATCTTCATGATTTAGAAGATATATTTAACTAATATATAGTAATTAGTAATAATCATATTTACCGTGAAAACCGTGGGCAAAAGAATACTTGACGTAAGTTGATTGTGACTCAAATCAAGTTGAGACAAATTTTGAATTTTTCGGAAAGCATTATCATCTATCTTGCTAATTCTATTGTGACGAAAAATTAATTTACTTATGGTAACATTAGGAAATTGTTTAAGATGAACTATTGAGTTATTTTCAAATGTTACAAGCTCTAATGGTATACTGGGCCAAAAACTATTTTCAAAATGATGAGTCAAATGTCGACTAGTACAGTTGATTTCTTTTTCTATAAAATTATTTTTAAAAAAATCATAAAATGTTCTTAATTATATGTAATGAATATAATTACAATTCTATAAAAATTATCAATATTTTATAAATTATTAAATAAAATATTGTTCAACTACCTTTACATTCACAAATATCACAAATATTTAAATGTTGGATGTTATCTTCTACTTTCGGAGTATTTGCAAAATCTTCAACTTTGTTCTCAAAAACCATTGTTTCACACAATGCAACACCCGAAAACACAACAATAAACAATAAACCATCCATATTGAATGAATATTGAGGTACTTCTACCATACCATCATAATTTATGAATAGATTCGTACTCATATCAAATCACCGTACCCAGATAAAGTTGTGCATGATAAGATAGTAATGATTAAATATTACTCATCACCTCTTTTTTTTTTATACGCATTTATATGGCTGTATCATTTAGGTGCAATATAGTCTTATTATAGCAACTACTCGGAATTGCTTCGTGTATATATATATATATATTAATATAAAAGAACAAAGGACAGAAGATATCGTAATTCATAGCTTAAATATAAAGTAGTAATCCTAAACCTAATAATGTAATAATATCTAACATTCAAAATATATGTAATAATCATTTTCATACAATGAAAACAGTTGTTCGCAGCATTTGTTTTTAATTTTATATTATTTGTGCTATCTAAAATTATGTTTTCGACCTTATGAATAATATTAAAGGTCATTAAAAAAACAAAAAAAAATTTTCTATCTGGTAATTTTTTGTTAAAGCTCAATTATGTAAAAACCATTAAATGAATCAGTACAAAGTTTTAGTCATTCAGTGTGGAAACGTTTGTAAATGATTTTAGATTATTAATTTATTCAATTCCGTAGACGCTGCACCATGTTTTTATGAATATTTTTTTTATTCAATTTTTTTTTTCACGGGTATACTTTATCGAGACCCTTTTATGCCATTGGAATACCGTAGTACAGTCTATTATGTTTTTTTATATTGCATAGAGGTATTTTTAAAAAATCAATTTCTAAGAATCGACTTTCTGGGACACTAGTTGGATAAAAAATCAAAATCAATTTATTTTTTGAATCCAAAAGTCTTTAATTACATTGGTCGTATATGAATTACAAAATAAAACATACGATAGTTAGATTTCTCAAGAAAGCTACCTAAAAATGAACAATTTAAGTTTTTAAGATTCGAACTAGAATTTCTTTTTTAACGTCCCACTAAGAAATTGAAAATTTTCAAAAATTGAGAAGTTATTGGTTTTATTTCGTTTCTCAAAAATCGAGTTTCCATCATATGTTGGCGTTTTAAGGTCCCAGGAAGCTTCCTCGAATGTTTCCGCGATGATATCCGTATGTCTGTATGTGTGTGTGTATGTAACCCTCTTATAACTTTTGAACGGCTTGACCGAGGTTGACGCCATTTGAAAGGGCTTTGCCAAACTTAGATTTTCAATACAATTTGGACCGATTCGATCCGGTAGATTTTGAGAAATCGCAAAAATAAAAATTTTGAAAAATTGTTTTTTTGGAATAACTTTTAAACGGTTTTACCGATCGATTCCAACAACTCATATTAGCTCTTATTATCCTATAAGTGCGATATAAGTAAAAAAAATCAATTTAAGTTTCGAGAAATCTGCTTTTTTTGACATGTCGAGAGTATAGAGCACTACCTCTACGCTTCGCTTATGAGGCGTGCAAAATGTGTTATTGAATAAAACGATAAATCAATTTAAAAAATATTAAAAATAAAACAATTATAGAATAAAAAAATTTGTTTTCAAGTTTATTATTTTAGTTTTTACAACTTTGTGAACATTTAAAATTCTTATGAAATCGTTACTTCATTTTTTATAAGAAAAAAAAATTAGGTTATTTTCATTTTTGATTCTTTATTTAATTTTTTATAATTGAACCTCAACACAACAAAAAATCATTTTTTTTTTTAACTCATGAACTGAACAAAAATTTCATATTAAATTTTAATATCGTAATATTATTTTTAAAACTTGTTATTTTAATTAACTACCTAAAATTTTAAGATTTATTAGTTAGCCAATTTACAGTCAATAAAACAAGCGCCAAAATATCTACAAAAAAAAATTAGTTAAAAAATATGAGCATGAAACAAACCGAAAATGTTTAAATAAATTTTAACGTAGAGCTTGTAAAAAAAAATCAAAAAAATTGTTCAAGAATTTTTGAATGCATTTTTTACATTGTTATTTTTGTAATAATGAATTTATTTATGTTTTTAAAAAAATGTTGGATTTTTGTTCTCGAAAAATTGTTGGGCACAAATAAGGTGGACCCATTTGTTAAATAATTACCAAAATTAAAATAGCGACAAATAATAACTGCATTTTAAACTATACGATGAATATGATATATAAGTTAACTGACAACTGTAATTTTTTTAATTCTTATAAAAAATAAATTACAACAATATAAATCCTTTTAAACATTATATTTTTACTTATATAATTTATTTGAATTGTCACATGTGGAATTTTTTTTTTATTTTTTTCATTATAATTTCATTGTTATAAAATTCTAAAATAATTTCTGTCTGTCAACTTCAGTATGAAAATTAATTTAGCAGATACTTGATAATTTTAAAAATTTTTGTAATAAATAAATTATGACTCGAAAAAAAATGACATGTAAAAATTGAAAAAAATAAAAAATGCAATTTTTTTAAAACTAGAATTTGAATTTACGCGCGCAAGCGCGCGCCTTGACTGTAGAGTTTGCATATATTTTCATGCTTATGATATATTCAACCAATCACTTTACGAATAGTTTGATGCCACATACATTTCATCTCTATTTTATATTAGGATAATTTTTCGGAACAAATTTTTTTTGTTAAATAAAATTAAAAAATTGTCAATTTCATAACTTCAGTGTCATTTTAAACTTCCCGCAAATTGGATGTTGCTCCGTCGGTAATGCCCGATTTTTTGTGTATTATTATCAGTATTTGTATTGAAGTGTGTGTGGTGCCATCTTTTTATAATTTTATGTACATACAATATTTTATCTAGAGACTGTGTATAAGTGGTATAAGCAGAGGCACGAAAAGTATTGAATCGATGACGTCACAAAAGACGAGACAGTAATAGGAGAGGTGGCTCGGGTTGTACGGAGGCCGCGCGCTGAAAAATGTTGCAATTATATTAATTTATTGTCGGTTTAAATAAATAGAAGTCGTCAAGACGCGAGCACGATTCAGTTACTGATCTCGTGACACGCTTAATGTTTATCTGTTCTTTTGTTATCACTCTTGACCACACGTGGCTTCGTATTGAAAATAATTATTATAATATACCAGTGTGAGGTTTGGACTCGATGAGATTGCGTACATATTCGGGAGGCGAGAATCAAGATCTTTATAAAATAAAGTGCCAGAGAAATCTAAAACAGTTTTAATTTACATCTCGCGTTTAAAACAAGTGTTTTATCATCTAAATAATAATCAAATTAATCAACTAAACAAATTAAGTATCTAAGTCATTATCTTCATTTAGTTGAAAATAAACAAGGTAAAGTTATATATCCATACCGGTATAATACATTTTTATTAACCGACTATAAAAATATTTACTATAACATTAGTGAGGTTAGGGTTGGGATTTTTTCATATATATCAAACGTCAACTCAACTAACAAGATTCGATAATTATTAATTTTTTTTTTTTTTTTTTTATTTAATACATTTTAATACTTGGTTATATTTCCGACCGCTTTTCAAATGACAGTAAAAATTGGAGTCATTAGTGTAAAACAATTTTTGTTATTTTTAATTAAAAAATATAGGAAACAATTTTTTTTTTAATTTGTAACTATATTTAAAAAGATAATTTTATTTATATATCATGCAATTTTTAAAATTACAAAAATAGTTTTTTTTTTTTTTTCTGCAAAGTGTTTGTTATAAAAAATCCAAAATGAATATCAAAACAAAAAGAGCTAGTTTATTTTATTTAAAAAAAATGTTAATTAAAATAATTATTTTTGCAGTTATAAAAATATGACACCGTAAACTAAGCAGTAAATTTCTATATGCAATATAAGTAATCTAATCTGGTGTCTATCACAAAATATGATGACATGATTATTAATTTATAATCATGGTTACATTACATTCACCAGAAATGCTAAATGACTGTAGAAACTGTATTAAATTCCCCTGCGGTCGCATTTGACGGCGACAGTTTATTAATTCATTTAATTAATATGAAATATACTCCGATATAATTATCTAATCGCATTGTTTATCGATTAACTAATGATAAAATTTTCGGGCAATGTATTAATAATAATTCCATTGACATTGACATTGATGATTGTAAAAGTAGAAATAAGATAAACTGAATTTAATGATGAAAAAAAAATGAAATAATTTTTATATTGTTGAAATAAACTCTGATTCGCAATCGATAATGCAATTCGGACCGGGGAAAATTGAGGCGACGATTGCGCGACTCGTTGCGCATCGAATATATATAGGTATATGTAATTTGGTAAATTTGTTCAATTGGATATTTAATTAAATACATGCCTATTATTGACAGGTTAAATACTTGATGAATCTTAAATTAGAAGAGCTTGCATGCTCAAGCTAATCAATCATTTCGCTGGTGATACTCTTAATGATAACATTAATGTTAAATTCTGATCAACAAAATATATTGTGGTACTTATTATAATAAAATAGATCGAGAAAAAAATATTTTTTATAAAAATTTAAATTTATTATAAAAGTAAGTAAATAATTAAGCAATTAAAAATGATATTTGTTGGATTTCCAGCGAAATAAACATTTGGAAGCGACTGCGCATACCGTGAATACGGCGAGTACACAAAAAATGTATTGGTGGTGTCAGTAGTTTGAATTTATGTTGTATTAGTGAAAGGTTAAAGCATTAACATCGTATCAAAATAAATTTATAATAACAAATAATGAAGATTAAAAAATTATATCGTGTAATTCTCTCAAATTTAGTGTCACTTTCTCGTCCTGGCTTTAAAAATAATGTTGAGAAAAAAGTTGATTTTCAGAGAGGAGAAAAACAAAATGGAATATGTAGAATAAAAAGAGATACATAGGGACAAGACGCGTGGGTTTTATTAACGTTCGATATAATATAAGTGACAGGATAACTGAACATCGAACGAGAAAAATAGACTGCCATTCGTGAGCTAATTTCAAAACTCAACTCACATTATTTTATTTATTATTGCACTAGTAAACAACTTTTATATTATTACAGGTATTATAGAAATTTAACATACGGTGCTTGTGTCTGTATTTGATG